CTCAGTAATCTTGTTGTGATTCCTGATATATTCTTCATGTCTAGTAGGATGATGCGTTTGTTGATTTCTGTCGATGACTTTGTAGTTGATGATGAATGGGATAGGCATCATCTGATGACGTTTGGTGGGTAGCCGTTCTTCTTTAGGAGGTGGACATCAAGTGATTTTCTTCGTTTCTGTATGAAGTTGTTGTACTGCAGTGTATTCTCGCTCTTTTGAAAGGCAAACGACGAATTAAAGATATCCGTCAATGTCACAGGATTATACAGATCAGTGAAACACCAAGAAAACTATGTCTTTCCTGTTCATGGAAGACACAAGCCTTTTAGAACACACAAAACACAAATGTTCAAGTTTGATGGAACTCATCGACCTCTTTCTGACAACATACTTCCATTTTAATGGCAAGATGTACAAACAGATGAAAGGAACTCCAATGGAATCATCGATATCGGGACTTATTTCAGAAGCAGTGGTTCAGAGACTGGAAGTCATCATTCTACCTCCTACCAGATCAAAAATTTTGATTCTCCATATAGACGATACTTTTGTCATCATCAAAAAAGATGATATAGAAAACACTCACAGTTTGGTGAACAGCGTTTTCAATGATATCAAATTGACAAGGGAGACGGAGCCGAGCAACCAACTACCATTCCTGGATGTTTCAGTGAGTAGGACAAATACCGGAAAACTGGTAAATCGAGTGTACAGGAAGCCGATGCACACTGATCTGATCTCTAACTACGGAGGTAACAATGAAACAACTCACAAAATTAGTTATGTACAGACTCTATTGAAAAGAGCGAGAGTACACTGGAGCACAACAACTTGATGGAGAGACGAAGAAAATTACTTGGTGTCTATTTGAAAGAAGAACACTGACTCACTAAACTTCATGAATTGATACTTATCCCATTCATCATCAACTACAAAGTCATCGACAGAAATCAACAGACAAATTATCCTACCATACATAACCTCACGTCAAATTTCTCGAAAGTTTTCTTGATATGTTGTATTTCGGAGTTCCCGGAAGTGAGAGTGTTGGTCTCAGTTGCATGCAGACTGTATTCAAAAGAGCTAGAACACACTGGAGTACAGCTTCATCCAGAAACGAAGAAAATTACTTGATGTTCATGCTTAAGAAGAACAGCTACCCACCAAGCTTCATCAGATGATGCCTATCCCGTACATCAACGAAAATCATCAGACGCATTATTCTACCATACATAAACAAGATGTATCAGAAATCACGACAAGATTACTGAGACCACTTAGAATTGGCGTGGCCACTCATACACCAACAAATTCCCTCCGAACACTATTATACAGACCAAAGAATGCAACAATCAAAGAAGACAAACCGAATATCATTTAGAAAATCAACTGCAATAACTGTAGTCAACACTACAATGGACAAAGTAGTCACCTTCTTCACCTCCTTCGTCTCGTCTACATGAATACTAATTAGCCATTAAACGTCACGACATTTCATCACACATCGCTGAATGCATGTGGATAACAACTATGGATATGAATTGAATGTTGACAATGCAGAAATGTTGAAGGGCGAGAGGGAGACACGAAGAATATCACGGAAGAATTCCTAGAAGCCTGACATCCACGCCAGTCAGTCAACAATCAACAGATGTATATACATAGACTTAATGTATCAACCAATGAGTGAAATGATAAACGACAGAAAGGTCAGAGGTCAACCAGAAGAACAGCCAACATGTAAATCTATGGAATCAATCAACGACACAACAATCACGGGAAACAACGAATCTTAGTTGTATTATGTTCTCTGAGCTGGGTTGTTTAATCGAATCCTTAAACCATTTGGTTAAAGGAAGCTGGTGAATCAGTCAGAGAGAGAAAGAGAAAGAGAGAGAGAGAGAGATATTGATACCTCACTTCATACTGAAGTTAGTGATGATGATGACGCTATCTAGAAAGATGATGAATGTTTTATGATTAATCAACCCTAAGTCAGAGAATAGAATACAACTAAGACCATCTCTACTTGAGCTACAAATATTCTCCATTGTTTTGTGTCTTCTTTAAAGTTTGATTGTTTTGACTAATCAGAATTCTCAAACTCCATGTCCTTTTGTCTACTTTAATATCAATGCATTTCTAATCACTTGTTCTGTGCATAGTTCTATGAAGTATGATAGGTTGAACTGATCCACTTGTATTGACTTTACCTTTCTTTCTGTATGGGTTTCTTACTTATTAACGCTTAACTAACGCTGTAGACCATCATTTCACACTATATGGTGAACAATACGTTTACTCCAATATACTTTCAACCTATGAACACCAATATAGCAAAACCTAACTATCTACAAAATATAAAATTTTGAAATAATAATAATAATAATAATGAATAGTATTAATGTTGTTTGTATTGTGTTCTCTCAGCTGGGTTGTTTAATCGTGAAGTTTTCATCGTGTCTTTCTAGACAGTGACATCATTACCACTAACTTCAGTATGAAGTGAGCTGTCAATATGTTAGTTGATTAGGGGTAATCGACAGAAAGTCCTGCCTCACCTAGATTTCATGCTTTTTGGCACTCGTCAGCAAGGTGTATCTACAACCTCAACGGAACTGATGTCCTACCCGAGATTCCAACCCATGTCACCCAGTGTTGTAGTCAGCGACTTTACCACTGAGCTATTCGGGCCGCGATTGACCTCCTGTAGGACTGTCGCGGGTTCGAATCTCGGGTGGGACATCAGTTCCGTTGAGGTTGTAGATACACCTTGCTGACGAGTGCCAAGAAGCACGAAACCTAGGTCCAGGGCTTCCTGCCGATTGCCTCCAACCAAATAAAATCTACTAATGTGCACCGCGATGCTGAGCTTCCTAGCTTGGTTGCCAAGTTGCAAATATGATCAATAGAATTCGATCTGCACTCAGGACTAGACAATATGAAATTAGTTGCACTCCCGTGACCAATCAATACGAACTGTCAATATCTCTCCGTGAGTCATTTAGTAGTTTGCTCTGACGATGTGGTCTGTGATTGGTTGTTTCCTTCGGTTGTTGTGTCATTGATTGACTCTATAGATCTACATGTTGGCTGTTCTTCTGGTTGACCTCTGACCTTTGTGTCGTTTATCATTTTTTTCTTATTGGTTGATAGATCAGGTTTATGTTTATACATCTATTGATTGCTGACTGACTGAGCTGAATGCCAAGCTTTTAGGAATTCTCCGACATTATACGTGTTTCCTCTGTCCAAAATTTTTATATTATGGAAATTGGTTTCATGTCCATAATTATCTACGGAGAGATATTGTCAGCTCACTTCATACTGAAGTTAGTGGTGATGATGTCATTGCCTAGCAAGGCGATGAAAGCTTCACGATTAAACAACCCAGCTGAGAGAACACAATACAACCAACACCATCCACCTGAGCTACAAATATTCTCCATTATAGTAATGATAGACCTTGGCTAGCAGTAGAATCCAAGATACGCATTTCGTCATATTTGAGAGTCGTCAGCTGGATGTACCTGCTTCCCAGTGAGTGATATTGTTCCCATCGGGATTCCGACTTGGGAGTCATCGCTTCAAACGCGAGAGCGTTATCCGCTACACCAACGAGCCACGATAGCCACTTCTTGTGTGATGGGTATAGTTTCAGTATTACTGCTTGATAACGTCCTGGCATCTGAAACAATCGATTCCGAGTACGAATCCCGATGCGAACAACATCACTCACTGTGAGGCAGGCACATCCAGCTGACGAGTTCCAAATAAGACGAAATGCTCATCTTGGATTCCACTGTTAGCCAATATCAATCATTACTCTAATTGAAAGGAGAGATTGTCCATGGAATCTTTGTTCATTGAGTCGACCAGCATCTAACACATGTAACAGAGGAGTCATTCAACCATCACATATTGCCGGTATATGTAGAAAAGTTAACTACCATTGAAGTAAAAGAATTAAGAATTATATCATAAGAGGAGTTTGAAAGTCATTTAATTACTTTGATATGAATATGAATAGGAAATTCTGCTGGAGAAGTCATCCAATAAATTATCACATGTGTCACTGTGTGCTACCTATATCAAATAAATAATTGAATATGGTATCTGAGTACTGCTGGACAACGAAAACACCAAAGCCGTGTTAAGTGAGAAGTTGGTTAGGAAGTTATCAGAACAGGAGACTGTCACTCATCCAGAAGAAGCTTAGCGCCATCTCCAGTCCTGTCGGAAAAGCAGTGGCTGAAGACCGTAGCTGACTCCGAAACAGTAGCTAAAAAGAGCCAGTGGTTATCAGCAGCTTCTTTCGAACTACTGGATGCACGTGAACGCATCCTTGCAGGCCCCGAGTACAATGAAGAGTGGGCACAACTTAAAAGTAGACTGAGAAAACGTCTACTCAACGACCGCGAACAGTGGTGAGCATCGAAGGTTAAAGAGATGGGTAAGGCAACGGCAGTACCTCAGAACCGATGTGAGTGGTGCAGATGTATACACACACACACACACACACACACACACACACACACACACACACAGATCATCCTCATCTTAACGACGCTATACCAAATCTCACCATTTTGTCATTCTTACTTTCTCTCTTTTTGTACTTTATATTTCTTTTGACTTCATTCTCTTATCTTCATGAGCCACGATGGCCAATTCTTGTGCGACGGGTATAGGTTTTAGTGCTATTGCTTGTATTACACCGTCGTTGATTAGATCGAATTGATCAGTCTCTGTTGGCATATAGGCTCCTGTGCATCCTGGATTCCACTGCCCCTCACCACCAATCATTACTATATATGATTAGAAACACAGGCAATATCGAGGCATTCACATAGGAGCCCATATGCCAACAGAGACTGATCAATTTGGTCCAATCAACGGCGGTGTAATACAAGCAATAACACTAATAATAATAATAGTAATAATAATAATGAGTAATAGTAATAGCAATAATAATAATAATAGCTAAACATACTACTCACATCAGAATCATCAAAACTGTGATAAGGCTGATTATGATCACGTTTTATTATATTATACAAAATAGGTAATGCATTTCTAGCACGTAGATTGGCCAATGATTCACGAACACTAATATAACGATAATTGGAATCTAATTGACAGTTTGTCATCAATGGATGGATACTACTGATACCGCCAGTATCATCATTACAACGTGAATTAGTCAACAGTAGCCCATCACTTTGTAAACTAGTCGATCCAGTAACATTAATTTGATCTAGGAAGAAAAAAAAACAGTAGAAGAGTAGGTAAAGGAAAGAAATATGTTTAACAACAATGAAGAGGCTTATACTTATACACTAGGGTGTATTTACATTCAGCTGATGAGGTTCATATGGGACGAAACTACAAAATCTTCATTGTGATAAAATATACAAGTGTTTCTAAAACTATAGTCATGTTCCATCGAATAATTAAGAAATATATACACGCACCATTTCTTGAAATTGTTCTATTCAAGAAGGTTAAAACATAGACATCATTAGATATTTCGAGGAAACAATTCAAGAATGTAGACTATTTGATATGCGCAATGCATCATTGTAAAGTATTTTGAACAATTTAATCATACATCTGTCTTATCATACATATTTATATGATATATAACAGAGAATATGTTGTAGTGTGCAATAAGATTATTTAGCCTTTTAATGAGAAGACCGTTACACTTCCTTGAACCATTTCAAAACTAGGTACCTGCCAAATGATTGGAAGAAGGGTGACCTAAGTCATTGCAAGAACTGGCGCGAAATCACGCTTCACTTCTGTCCACCCAAAGCAAGCGAAATATTAAGCCACATCATCTTGAAGAGACTAAAGGATGCGCTGCATTCAAAACTACAACCCGAAAAGGCAGACTGGATTCAGGAAGTACAAATCATGTGCGGACCAAATTGCAATGCAGTGCATCATCATAGAACAGAGCACAGAATGGCAGTCAACTCTACACCTCAACTTTAAACACTTTGAAAAGGCCTTCGACAGCGTCCACCAACAAGTAAATTTGGAAACTGCTTCAACACTACGGAATACCACAAACCTTTATCAATCTCATTCAACAACTATATGAAGATGCTACATGCCAAATAATTCACAGTGGGAAGCTCAGTGGTACTTTTGAAGTGAAGACAGGAGTATGACAAGGCTGCTATCTACTATCACTCATGATATTCCTGATTATGGTCAACTGGACTGGTTCATGCAACAAACAGTGAGGAGCGAGAACAGGGGGATACGCTGGACCGGAGAAGAGATCCTTGAAGATTTGGATCTCACCGATGATGACTTGTGTCTGATGTCACACAAACTTGAAGATCTACAGGTAAAATCCAACAAGTTGACAGAAGAGGCAGGGCAGAGCAGAGCAGCGAAGGGAGACGGGACTTCGAGTGAACGTAGAGAAGACAGAGGTTATGAAGATACCCAACCAACAACAACAAGCTCCAATCACCATCAATGGGAGAAACATAAAGGAAGTACCCTTTTTCATCTACCAACTAGGTAGCACTGTTTCGACTACACGCAGCGGCACAGGCGAGGACGTCAAAGCCAGCCAGGATTGGAAAGACAACAACACAGGCGTTCATTAACCTGAAACCAGTGTGGAGATCTTCTGCACTCAGCACAAAGTGTGAACAACATCCCGATTTTAAACACCAATTCAGTCAAGTCAGTGCTTCTATGTGATTGTTCAGAAACTTGACGCTTGACGAAAAGCACTTCGAACAAACTACAGACATTCATCAGCAGCTGTCTACACTGGCTCGTTACTGAAGCTCATATGGATTGCCAGAAAGAATAAGTAACAAAGAACTCTGGCCTAGCAACGAACCTACCAAGAACCTATCACTCAACAAATATGCACTTGAAGGAAGTTGAGATGGACTGTATTAGGCATACACTGAGAAGGCCAACTGGAGCCAGCATGCGTCAGACCAGTCGCTCGAGTGCAACGCCGATGGGAAGTGACGAGTTGGACATCCGACGTGAGGGCGACATGGAGGAGATCATGCGAGGAGGAAATGAGAGCTTCTTGGTTGTCGTGGAGCCAGGTTCAAAAGTTTGCAGAGAACAGAGTGCACTGGAGACGTGCTACTGAAGCCCTATGTTCCACTAGGAACCCAAAGGACAAATAATAATCATAATAATAATTGCTATCAACAACTTTCTTTTCATTATCCTAAACCGCTTCCTCTTCTCTAAACCAATAAAGCTAAGTTTACATCTAACAGTAAACACTTTAGCCAAATCGATCAAGCGGTTATGGAAAGTCCCTTCCCTAGATCTCTTTGTAGCGCACAAGTAGCACGTTTATAAAGTGATGTGGTTCATGTTGACTATCTGAGACTAGTATTGATAATGAGTGATGAATAAAGGTGAAATGAAAATTTGAACAGCCGCGGGATTCCAATCGAATGAGCTATGAAACCCTTCTGCTAACCAGACTTTTATTTCACCTCAAAATTTGATTTAAAAAGTTGTTTTCAACAGAAAATTTGTAAACGACATCATAGTTGTAATATGATAAACTAGAAAATGCTACAATTCAATTGTTAGTCGAACAAATACAGCTCAGAGTAGTAGCATATCCTTGACATGTCAGAAAGAAGATGACTTTACACCTTCCCTAGGCATTCTTCACAGCTTGTCGCTAGCATAGACGAACACGACAAGCCACCTTTGGTTGGAAAATTAGCATGCAATGTATTATTCATTTCAACAACAAAAATTCATTGTTCAATTGGTTGTCCCAAGGAAAGATTTGTATATCAAGCTACTGTATGTGGGTGATTCACAAAATCTGACCATCAAACAACCATCCAGATAATATACCATACACCTGCCATATAGTCCTAATTTTGCATGGCTATCGCCTGCTGTTTCGCCTGTGATCTTGAAATGGTCTACATGACTGTTTTTCATACCCTTGCCAGTTTTTCTTCCCTCTTCACCCAAGGCTGAATTCTCATTGGTTTTTAATTATATGTGGATTTAGTGTTGTCAAGGTCACCTAGAAATGTATATATATATATATATATATATATATATATATATATATATTCAGTATCACTGTCAACAGTTTGTCTTCTCTTCTTGTTGTCGTGGTGGTAGTTGACGTTCTGATTTGTGTCAGAGTCAATTCGTTCGTACATTACGTTCGTATCGTTCACAGTTTGCTATGCTCATATGCTGTTAAGTCGTACTGCTGTTCAATGAAATATATACACACTTCAACAACTTTCATCCAACCAGTTTTAAAAGAGTTTGAGTTAAAACACTATTTTATTAAACTTGAAGGATATTATCAAGTGATAAATTGCCAAGAAGATTTACTAAGCACTGGAAAAATGCTGATCGATAACCGTTACCGACATAAGTATATCAGTAAATATGGAGGATCTGAAGACATTCAAATGAGGAAGTTTACAGTAAGTAAGAAGTCAAGTTTTAATGACATGACCCTCGAAAATGACAGTATCATTTAGAAAGTTAAGAGAAGACTGAAAACCGTACTGAATAGAACATATCTTGGAATAATCAAAGGTCGACAGCTACCCTTCCTGAGTTATCGCTAATTCCATGTAGGAGTATACGTGCATCTGGGGTAACAATTATATTACGAGAAGGATATACCTTAGATTCTTGAAACAAATATCAAGCCCCCATCTTTATCATCATCGAGATCAACATAAGATCAGTCAGGCATTACTGCGTAACGTTTGAACTTGCCACACCTCACCTTATATCACCGCATCAAGTAACAAGGCAATGAAATAAAAGATGAGGAAGGAAAGAAAAATTGATCAAAGTCGAAGTAGAAAGTAATAAAAGAGAGGAAGAGAGAATGAGATGATGAGATTAAGCATAGCGGATAATGTGTGTATACATCTGCGACGTTGACATCAGTTCTCAGCCATATCACCTACACTTAGTCTCAAATTACTGGTTTCTCATGTCTCGCAGACCCCAACCACTTAATCTGCATCGGCACCTACATGGTTCAAACCAATAGTCAATGACTTCATACATTGATGTTAAGTTTAACTCTGGCCGCTTCGAGCCATTTTCAAACCTCAACCCACTTCACCCAATATAATACGACGAGGCAAACGGTGGTTACGCGTACGCAGTACATGTACCAGTCAGCCATCCTAGTTGTTGGAGGTTCACAACCGCATCAACTGTCTTACGTCTTCTCCCTAAAACTCTACGTCTAACTTCTCAGTCACTCACGTGGTGACATCACGAAATGCGGCTTATGCTACAAAGGCAACGATGGTCTACCTTTAATGGCCATGTTTCCTGGCTATACAGTAGAGCAAAGTGGATTGCAACAAAGAACACGCGACCCGTAATACACAATCAGATATCAAGGCGGCACCACAGATGGCGTAAGTTGGTGAAAGACTTTTGTATCCGTGAAGAGATTTCGTCAGTCGCCAACCGACGCACTATGGTTGATCTAACTTCACTCTCTATTGTTAGTCGGGGTCCTGTTGAAGACCAGTCGTGGAGTAACAATATGCACTTGGGTGGCGAGAAACGCATCCCAAACATTCTCAAATTGTCCAGAAGACTCTGCATATTGTCAATATATTCACTTAACAGAACTATGTGGTCTGAATATTCTGGGTGTACCAAAATTCTTCTGTGATTAGATTAATCCCTGTGTAGTCAGATGACGAAAGGGAAACTTCCATACGAACATCTATGATGAAATTGAATAAGAATAGAAAGAGTTCAAAAAGCCTACGTCTTAGGAGAACACATGTGGGGTTCCAGTATTTCAGTCGCTCAACATCTTATCGACATAAGACAAGAAGTAGACAGTTCAGTTCTTTGAGGCTGTACTGACAAAAAGATTAAAACTGGAATTACCTATTCATAGGAGAAGTAGTAATAAGTCTTTCATTACCTTGATAACCTAATATTTCACTCTTCCTCCTGTTTGATGATGACATCATCTTTTGAATGAACCGTTTTCTATTTGCACAAAATTTGTTATCTGTCATGCTTATTTCACTTATTCAGAACTGATGTGGCTGTGTTGACGTAGGATGTAGGTTCTAATAGTAAGGGAAATGAGTAATAACACAGTGAGATACTTGGACTGAATACGAATAATACGACTGTTCTCCCCTACACCTAATAGTTCAGTGAGTTATGAAAATCAGAAAACAAAATCCTGCCCTATGACTGACTTAAGGAAGACAATGATTTCCATACTTAGCCACCTCCCAACAAGAACCAACAACAGTTACTAACTTCATAGGTTAGTAGTGTTGTGTCTTCATCAACTACCTAAATGTGCGATAACTAAGCGAAGTTGGATCAGATTAGAAGGAGAATGAGAAGAAAAAGAAGAATAGGGAGAGAAAGAAGAAAAATGGGAAGAAGAAGCATGCGGAGAAGAGGAATGAAAAGAATGGAGAGGAGAAGAAGAAAAGCGTGAAGAAGAAGAAGAATGAGAAGAAAGGAGAAAGAAAGCAGAAGAAAAGTGGGAAGAAGAAGAAGAAGAATGGGGAGAGGAAAAATGAGAAGAATGGACAGAGGAAGCAGAAGAAAAGTGGGAAGAAGTCGAAAAATGAGAAGAGGGAGAAGAAGAAGGCTCAGGATGCCTAAACCAAGATGTGACACAAGTCCATAAAGTCTATGATCATTCGTATGCATCATCGTGTAGGCAAATCACTTATCTAGAATCCAACGCTTAAACCCACTTATCATTTTACAGCTAGAACAATGAATTGTATACGTTCAGACTTCCAGCAACCCTTTCCAATGACAGGAAATTTCAAAATAATCCTTAATCATCTCGACAACAGTACAAACGAATAAAGTAGAATGCATAGCAAGATGCAGAGTCTTCTGAACACTTTGAGTGGGAATTTAAGAATGTTTCGGATGCGTTTCTCACCGCCCACATGCAAATTTTTGCTCCAGGATTGGTCTTCAGCCATACCCCAACGTGGCTAACAATAGAAAGTGAAGTGGTTGAGTATGTTGACCACTTCACCTACCTGGGAAGTAGGATCAACCTTGGTGGGTTAGTTGCCGATGAAATCTCTGCACCGATACAAAAGGCTCCATTGGCTTTTGCCAATTTGCGCCACCTATGGCGCCGCCGTGATATCTAATTGTCTATTATGGGTCGCGTATACTGCACCTGCTTAACAGTCCGCTCTGTTCTACTGTATGGCTGTGAAACATGGCCATTGAAAGTGGAAGATATAAGAAGGCTTCAAGTGTGTTGACCACTGTTGCCGTATTCCGTGCTGTCACCATGTGACTAATGCAGAAGTCAGGAGTAGAGGTAAATCTGTTGACGAGGTGATGAACCCTTCATCGACTGAGATGCCTAACTGGGACACGTACTACGTATGCCTAGTCACCGATTGTCTCGTCACACAATGTTGGCCGAAGTAGGCTCAGGCTGGAAAAAGACTCGAGGTGGTCAGACTAAAACATGACACTAATGTATGAAGTCGTTGATTGTTGGTGTTGGTGGGACAAGAGGAACCAGTGGTTGGAGACTCTAGGTGATCACATGGTTCAGAACCGATGTCAGTAGTGCAGATGTATCTGTAAACATACTATCCTCATCTCATTCCTCTTTTCTTTCTTCTCATACTTTATATTTCTTTTGACTGCATTTTCTTATCTTCATCCTTCACCTCACTACCTTTCTACTTGATGTACTGATATGAGGTGTCACAACAACTCGAACCGTTACACAGTAATGCCTGGATCCTAGGCTGATACTGATTGATTGATTTCATTGGAAGAAATGGATTACTGAAAGAAAAAAGAGAGTAGAATTGTGGGTTTACTGGTTTTATGAGCGAGTTAACCAACTTGTAACCAACAGTGGGGTTGCGGTTTCGAACTCATTTCCACTTACTGATAACCAAATAAACAAAAATATAAAACACATATTTTCATTGCAGATAAATTTTATAAGAAAAAAAAGAGTAAAAAAAACGGAAGTAGAATCATCTTACTTTTCTGGGAAGGATTCACTGCAAGGATTTTACAACATGATTCCATGTTCCTATTTTCACTTGATTGAGAGCAATTTCTTATTTGGTTCACTAGATCAATATCTGTCTGATCATAACCTCTTGCTGGTATTGGTGGTCCTTTGTTTGTTTTTTATCGATTATTCAAAAAATATGAGGATAAATTATCATTGAAATGAAATTGTTTACTGTTCATATATATATATATATATATATATATATATATATATATATATATATACAAGCAAACGGAATTGAAAAACTCTAATTTTCCGGCGATTTAATAACCAGGTACATGCTTATTTAATCGTAGAGAGACTAAAAGATATTCTAGAGTCAAAATTACGACTGGAACAGATTGGTTGGTTGGCTTCAGGGGAGTATAGAATGAAAGTCAACTCTTCACCTCAACTTCATCGATTTTCAAAAGGCCTTCAACAGAGTCGATCGAGAAGTAAGATATGCCATATGCCAAGTGATTCACAACACAATGGAAAACTCAGGGACGCCTTTCAAGTGAAGTGAAGACAGGAGTAAGAAAAGACAAGGTTCCCGCCTACATCACCGATCATCTTCCTTATTGTGGTCGACTCGATTGAACTGGATCATGCAATCGACAACTATGAGGAGCGAAAACATGGGTATACGATGACTGTTTCACCCATCAAAACACCCTAAAACATTCAGATTTCGCCCATGATAATTTATTTATGTCTAATATCTTATGTCGTATAAACTCGAAGATCTACAGGTGAAAACTAACAAGTTGGCAGAACAGGCAGGGCAGCGAAGACCGGACTTTCTTCATGTGAACATCGAGAAGCCAGAGGTGATGAAGATAACCAACCAACCAACAACAACAAGCACCAATCACCATCAAAGGGAGAAATCTGAAGCAAGTTGCCTCTTTCACCTACCTAGGCAGCACCGTTTCAACTTCAGGCGGCCACGCAGGCATAGATGAGGATGTCAAAGCCAGCCAGTATCAAAAAGGCAGCAATACAGACCTTCCTGCATTAACCTGAAATCAGTGTGGAGATCTACTGCACTCCACTGCATTCAGCATAAAAAGCATGAACAAGATGCTCATTTTCAACACTAAGTCAGTCAAGTCAGTGCTTCCATGTGACGGTTGAGAGACTTAGCGGGTTACGAAAAGTATTTCCAGGAAACTGCACACATACATCAACAGCTGCCGTCTACGCTCGCTCGATACTGAAGATGAAGATCAAATGGCCAGAAAGAATAAGCAAGGAGGAACTCTAGCTGACAACGAAGCAACGAGGCAAGATCCTGTCATCCAACAAATGTGGAGAGGAAGAAAGTGGAGATGGATTGGATTGGATATACACTGAAAAGGCCGTTTTGGGACATCACGCGCCAGGTCAGGCCGTCGAATAGAACCCAAAGGGGAAACGATGAGTTAAGCATCCGAGGCGAGGGTTACATAGAGGAGATCGTGTGAAGAAGAAATGAAAGCTTCTCAGCAGTGGTGAAGCCAGGTTGAAAGACTGGAGAGAAGAGATTGAAATGGTGACGTGCTACTGAAGCCCTATGTTCCATTAGGTACCTGATACTACCCATTTTTCTATAACCGATATGATAAATTCTCCTGGTCTATCCTTTATCCAAACCAGGCAATCGATGCCTCCCTATACGACTCACAGAATTCATAGATTGGTGTCACACTTTGGTCTCGCTGCCTTGAATCATCTTCCAATGTAATTCAACATCCCCTAGCGTGACATATCGAGGGAGTTGGTGGCTAGGCACGCGCAGGACATGTGCAAGCCATCTCAGTCGATTAACGTTCAAAACTTCATCAATCGACTTGTCTGTCTTATCTAGTACCCTTTGACCTGACCTTAACATTGCTCACACAATGATTCTACCAAAACACCAGCAATGCTACGAAGACACCTATGATCGCTTCATATCTTCTACTTTCGACAGAACGGACTGCAGCGGAGTATACTTGTCCTTCGATAGGTAATCGGATATTTCGCTAGTCGGCGCTACAGATGATGCGAGTTTTCTGTATCCAAACTGAGAATTATCTAGACCAAATGAATTCGATCACTTTACTTAAGTGTTATTTAGTAGTTGTACATTCTCCTATCCTCGTCTGTGGGATATACAAATCAGGGAAATAAACAATACTGTTCAAGTGTGTATACATCTAAGGAGATAAGCTACCCTATATAAGCATACTACTACTACGTAAACACACATGCAAGCAGGCTATCCAGATTCAGTTGGAATTAACCATTTAGTTCCTCAATGATTTCATTTTGCCTGGTTAGAGTGATGACAACTTCGCCTACAAACAAGTGAAATCACCTTTCTGTGTTTACATCACTCACCCTCATATGGCTAACAAAAGTGAACCGATCAACCATACTTTTACATTGTAGAAAATGGTCAGGCAAAGGGTATTTAGGCAAGATAGGCAAGTTGACTGATGCAGTTTTAAACCTTAATCGACTGAAGTGGCTTGAACATGACAAGTTAACACCTACATTGACGTCCCATCCTAGGGGAAGTTGAATTACGTTGAAAGAGAGTTTACAGTGACCAGATGGTCAAGGTGCTCAATCACTTCACTCACTACTGTTGGACATCAAACCAACGCAGACCACCACTTGTCACTTCGTGTTGTCAGTGTCATCATTTAACAGGATTATGTCGTCTGTGCATTACATTTCCACTATAAAGTCTCCTATGATAAGGTCCATCCCTATAAAGTCAGACAAACAGAACTAAGCCTCTGTTATTAAGTCTGTAAAAAAAAACAACTAAACAAGAACAAAGAGAGTGAAAATACTTCACAGATACCACCAGACCTACGAAACTCACCTGATGCGTCACCAGAAGCTCTAACACAACCATCTACGGGGTTCCAGTCACTGGTTCTTAACACTTTAAACATTCTTACATGGAATCTTACGTTTTCTTATGTGAATTAAAGCCATAACTCAGTGATTTAGTGCATTGATATCGTGGTGTTGAAGATAGTCCCACTTCAGTCAATCCCCCCGATAGCTGTTACCTTGATATACTGGTCAGGTTTGTGTACATCACGATCACCCAACGAGCCACCCAGGTGGAAGACTTAATCCCTCAAGATTCTGTCATGCCGGAAAGTTCTGTAGGATAGGGGTTAGATAAAGGTAGTTACCAGTATAGTATAGACTATTACGCTATGATGGAGGTTCAAGGGAAAATCCGTACTGTTTACTGGGTGGGAGAGTGACAGCAGTAAGGTGTTTCCCTTGGATGAACAACAGTGCCAAACTGATGTTGCCTTTCTAACGAGAAGAAGTGGGGGAGTTAGAAAGGTCAGTCCCCAAAGTAGCATACTCCTACTAACCCCATGGAATGCCGCCAGTGCCGGCGACCAGCTTTACAACTAACGAACCGAAATTTCAAACTTCCCTAAAGCCTCTACAGGTATGCATCAACCGTTCTGCTTCGGGTATCTCAAGAAAGAATAGCCTTCCATGATGTAGGCAGCTAGGAAGTGTCGCCCCACCCTCCCGTACAGCTCTGTCAGTAATCAATTTCCCTCAGTTAGCAGAACAACGTAGGTAGTGGATAGGTATTTGTTAGACATATCTCAACGAACTTAGCTAGAACAAGTTTGTAAGTTTATCGCTTAACTTATCTTTCGTTAGTTTACGCCTCTAAAATAAACATTACCATCGCACACTCGATAGTTCTACCACGCACAAACGATACATTGAATACAAGTATGATCAAAAATCATAAGGCATTTCACATCTTCAAGTTTCTAGTGTCAATCACAGAATATTTGATGACTTTTCCTGGCACAAAGTGGGCTCTGGATAGCAGAATTCATAGCGTTATCTAAAATGAATCCATCTTCTCATAGAAATAAGTGGTTGAAGAAATCGCTGCAAAATATTCAGATCAAGAAGTCTGATACATAACGAAACAACGTATACAACTTTGTTGATGTTAATCACATAGATACATTGTGTAAAGCTTTCTTAAGAACCTTCATTGATTGAGATTGACTAGGACATGTATTGTGCATATCCAGTCACCGCCTACCTCAACGTACCGCGTTACGAGGAGTTGGATTAGGTTGGATGAGGGGTCAAGGTGGCCAGACTACGACATGACACTAGTCCATGAAGTCTCCGAATGTTGGTCTAAACCGTGTAGAGAGATAAAGACTATTTGGTTGGGTTCACTGATGCAACAGGAGTCAGTGGTTGAGAACTTCTGGTGAAATGGGTGAAAATCCGTCACAATATCACACATGTATTCACTCCTTGATATCTAAAGGTTGAATATTCGCACTAACATTCGTTTCTATATATTTTTTCTCCTTCCCTACACCTTCTTCTTCTTAGATATCAGTCTTTTTCTACTCACTAGTTGTTTGGAATCTACTGTGAAGTGTGGCAAATTGAGCCAATGCACTAGTTGCGTGCCAGGTCCGATGTTGATTTGGCTGTCTATCAGTTCAGAGACAATGTTACACCTCTGTTTGATACGTGACGCCGCAACATAGTTCAAACATCGTCATCATCACCAAGATAAATCTAGGGACCAGCCAGGCATTAGTGCGTAACGGTTCAACTTCTAACATCTCACTTCATATCATAACACCAAGGCAATAAAATGGAAGATGAAGACGGAAATAAAAATCGCCCAAAGGAAGTAGAAGTAGAAAGTAATAAAAGAGAGGAAGGGTGAGTGAGAAGATGATGAGATTAAGCATGGCGGATAATGTGCGTATACATCTGCGACACTGACATCAGTTCTCAGCCATATCACCTACACTCTCTTGTCATCCAGACCCCCAACTGGCTAGTATGCATCGCCCCGTAAATGGCTCAAACCAACAGTCAACAACTTCATGCACTGGTGCCACGTTTAACTCTGGCCGCATTGAGCCTTTTTCCAACCTGAACCTATACTTCGGTCAACATTGTCTGACGAGGCAGACATACGTAACACATGTCCCAGTTAGCCATCTCAATCGATGTAGGTTTACAAGCGTATCGATTGACTTGTCTCTCCTGTCTAAAACTCTACAACTGACTTCTACGTTACTCACATGGTGACATTATGAAACACAATCTATGCTACGACGGCAGCGGGTGGACAAACAGCTGAAGCCTTCTATCTTTAGTGGCCAAACAATAGACCTATGCTACATACATGAGGTGATAAAAACATTAGTGTTTTTTTAATCCGTGACGTTAGGTCAGGAAACGGACAGTGACACTTACGTGTACATCAGTCATACACTATCAAGAAGCAGATTGCAACCAATTCCATTGAATCAACAGAAGAATAGTATAGGGCCCAGTGGAATAATGTGAAATTTTTTCAAGTTTCATACTTTACTGCTTAGACATAAAATTCATCATCATCATCATCATCAATATCAACATAGGACTAGGCATGACTGCCTAACGGTCCGACTTGCCACACCTCATATCACCACATCAAGTAAAAAGCCAGTGAAGTGGAAGGTGGAAAAAAGAAAATTCAGTCATATAAAATATAAAGTACTAAAAGAGAGAAGAAGAATGAGAAAATGGTGAGATTCGGTAAAGCATCGTTAAGCATACGTAACATATATCCCAACCAGCCATCGCAGTCGATGAGGATTCACAACCGTGTCAAGTGACTTACCTATTCTTCCTAGCTAAAACTCGACACCTGACGTCTGTGTTACTCACGTGGTGACACCACGGAATATGGCCTGTGCTGCGACGGCAACGATGGTCAAACATCTGAAGCTTTCTCATATCTTCCACCTTCAATGGCCATGTTTCACAGCAATGCAGCAGAACAGAGCTGACTGCTATGCAGTAACACGCGACCCTTAATAGACATAAAATTCTTGGGCTAGTTTGATGTTTATAGTTCAAGTGTAACAAGCAAAATGATTCATAATGATGCAACAAATGACATGATACTCATTAGAAATAACACGGAGCTTACGTGTATAGTTGGAACTGTAAACACTACTGTCAGAAGCAGTCTCGGGGCAATTGACAGTTTGACGAGATTTGATGCGTGGTGTAACTTGAGCATATAAATGACCAAAAGAGTAAGAAGGAGGATTTGTCTGAAAGTAGGAAAAAGTGGAATATGGTTAATCATAACCGTTAGACAGATAACACTTTCTATGCATCAAGGCTAAAAGTAAAGTGAAATAACAGTCTGAGTCAGCAATGGTTACTTCAGTTAGCTTCCTTGTTCGAATCCGGTCACAATGTAAACTGTTTTACAAGTTTTACTACCATAAAATGGATTTTTATAGCGTGAAACCGATATAAAGATGAAATATATAAATGAGTGGTAGGATAATGGAAATAAAAGACAAACAATAGCGAAGATAGGAACGGCTTTTAGTTTACTGAAGGTTAAGAGGGGAACAACATTTCAAATTGTTCCTTCCTGAATGCAAAGTTCAGATTTAATAAAACTTATTGCGACAGCCTCCACTATGTGTTGAGAAGGCGTTGGTGAGCTACACGTGGTATTGCTTTTGATGTACATTGAAAGTTTTATGTGTCTACTAGGTACGCTAGTATGGAAACTTCTGACTACTCCGACTTCACCCTTTCCAAACTAAGCCGGTAAATGCTCTTATATCCGGAGATGTACCTGTCTATTAGTTCACCCAATGTAACTTGTTCCATAAGTACAGTTAAACTGATATTTCCAAGATGAAGAGCTAAGATTAGGTAGGGTATTTTCCAGTCTCATATTGAGCATTGGCCAACTTCTGACTATAGACAAAGCTGACTTGTATAAAATGTCCTGTTGAGTCCACAAGATATCCATTTTCACTCAATAAAATTAATACATACGCACTTATCAAAGATTAAAAAGTATCTATACTGTGTGATGATTCAAGGCGAAACAAAAATTTGGACAGTGAACGGATTCGAACCAGTGACCATCATATTTTCGACCAGATGCTCTACCAACTGAGCTAACTACAAGATCTGACTGTTGACCAGATTTTTATTTCACTTCAATCATCATCATCGAGGGTTTTTCCCGACTATCATGTGAATTCATGATATAAGCATAAGGACAGTAACACAGTGGTCGCTGGTTCGAATCCGGCCGCCGTCTATATTTTCATTTCATCTTCAATCGTCACTTAGTATAACTTTTCAATATTCATATTCTCATTGTTATCATTAGTATCACTCACTTATATTGTCATTATTATAATCAATATTTTTGTTTACCTAACGCACCTATGTTCTCTTAATGAGCACCTCTTAATGATGCTATCGAGTTGACTACTAATTATTGTGTTCAAAATAATGTAATCCATTCCTATTCCTTTTGTTTTTCATTATCAGTTCTTTACCGCCCCCCTAGTTAATCTTAGCTCATGAAAACATTTGTTTCCCGATACAAATTTAAAACAAACAACAACTGTGAAAAAAGCAGGATTTCATGAATTCATACATTTCAGTAGCAGTCGTTAGTCAGCTGGATACTCTACATACTTGATTATACATACCGTTAAGCAATGGAAAAGAGCATTCATACATACATACATATATAACGTGGACTGAGACAGATTTAGGTGTAACAACATAGAAATGAATAGTTTTTACAGGTTCACCTGGTAATCCAGAGGATAGAAATGGATATTCAAAATTGAAGGGGGGGGATAGGTTAATTGAGTTTGGATAATAGTGGATTTCAGGTACGAAAATAATTATAATAACAACACTAAGGTTGACACATAGGTGAGAAGTGAATCGACTGCGCATCGATTACGTCATTCAGGCTGACTACTATTTCCTTCTGAATGCAAAGGTTTGGTTTGACAACTCGAATCGTGCAGGCTTCTACAAATCCAAGCAACTTCTTATTTTGCTGTCTACTCATAACCTTAAAGGACTTACAGGTATCAATATCATGTCCATAGTCCATTAAGTGCTTTGTTATCGAGCTCCTCGGGGTCTTCTTTACGGCATGCTTCAACCATTTGGGTAGGTGCTTAACCATTCGGGTGGACAGACGCCTCTCCCTACGACCAGTGTATTTCCTTCCGCAGGTACATTCAAATTGATATATGCATTTGGATGTGTCGAGGGCCGGAGTCCTGTCTTTTCCTGATTGCTGCAGTACCCTTTTGGTGGTGCTGAGAAGAACGAGTTTAACTGCGTAGTAAGCCCTTCTGATAGACTTCTCCAATCTTCATCTAACTACCTCTAATACGTCGCCACCTTTGAAAGACAAGGTGACATAGGCTGCCTACTTATCATCCATGATATTCCCGATTGTAGTGGACTGGATCATGCAACAAACAGTGAGGAGCGGGAAGAGGGGGACCGGGGGGGGGACCGGGGAAAATATCCTAGAAGATTTGGATTTCCCCGATGATGACTTGTGTCTAATGTCACACAAACTTGAAGATCTACAGGCAAAATCCAAAAAGTTGACAGAAGAGGCAGGGTAGAGCAGAGCAGCGAAGGGAGACGGGACTTCAAGTGAACGTAGAGAAAACAGATGTGATGAAGATACTTAACCAACAACAGCAACATAAACAACAACAAACACCAGTCACCATCAACGGGAGAAACTTAAACGAAGTAGCCTCCTTCACCTATCTAGGCAGCATTGTTTCAACTACAGGCGGTACAAGCACAGATGAAGATGTCAAAACCAGGATCAGAAAAGCAAGACAGGTGTTCATTAGCCTGAAACCAGTATGGAGATTTTCTGCAATGCACTTAGTATAAAGCGTGAACAACATGCGAATTTTAAACACCAATTCAGTCAAGTCAGTGCTTCCATGTGATTGTTCAGAAACTTGACGCTTGACGAAAAGCACTTCGAACAAACTACAGACATTGATGAACAACTACCTACTCTGGCTCGTTACTGAAGATCAGATCAGATCAGATCAGATGGATTGCCAGAACAATGAGAATAAGCAACAAAGAACTCTGGCCTAGCAACGAACAAACCAAGAACCTATCTCTCAACAAATATGCACTTGAAGGAAGTTGGGATTGACTGTATTGGGCATACACTGAGAAGGCCGACTGGAGACATCACATGTCAGGCCAGGCACTCGAGTGGGACCGAGATGGGAAGCGACGAGTTGGGCGTTCTAGGTGAGGGTGACATGGAGTAGATCATGTGAGGAAGAAATGAAAGCTTGTGGGGAGTCGTGGCGTCAGGTCCAAAAGACTGCAGAGAAGAGAGTGTACTGGAGACGTGCTACTTCAGCCGTATATTCCACTAGGAACACAATGGACAGATAATAATAGTACTGTTAGAGCAAATTTTTTTTTTTGCTCTATTAAATAGGGTTTTGTATTGGAACGAAACTTTCGAAGTGAAGATATTGCCGTAACACCATAAAGGCTTTCTATAGATCCATCATTCTATTTTATTAAGAAAATGTCTAAAAAGTTGATCTTCATGTTCAACTATAAAGTTGTGATTTACATGATAAAAACGAAATTACTTTTATCAAGGTTTTTGCTTCCACTTTACTTTTTTTTTTCTTACTATATAATCAAAATATTATCCATGTATCAGTAGTATAATTCGATCTGTTCTATGAATTTCTTAAGGTTACTCTACTAGCCTCTAGACTTGAGAGAAATAAGTCACCAAAGTAACACACAGTATAATAGTATATAAAATTATGTATGTAGAGTAAAAAAGTTGATGAGTCCTATTGAAATTTATACTACTGTTTTATATATTTTATAAAGCGTAATTTTTAACGTTCACTTACGGAATATTTATCGAAATCATCAACTTTTCTAAGGAGATAAGAAGTAGATTGTTTAGATGAATGACATTCACAAGAGATGTTGTTGATAGTAGTTGCATCATTATCAATTGAAATCCCAGTGGGAAGTTCAGTGAATTGGATGGTATCAGTAGTTGAAACAACGGCAGTAGAAGTAGTAGTTATTGTTCTATTCTTATCACTACTGTTTACATCTGAATCATCTTTCAATTGTGAATAATAAGGTGATTGACAGAATTCACATCCTTATGGATTGAATAACAAGAAATAAAATACAGAATGTTAATATTCAGAATCAAAATGATCATCGTCATTAAAACCTACTAGTCACAATTATCTAAATCAGTATTGGTTTATTCAGATTGATATTAACGTTTACAGACACTAAAGGTTGTGGAACTGTCAATTATATTAGGCATGAATATACTTCCTTCCCCTCTTCAGACCCCTTAAAGCACTACCATCTCATACAAATAATGTCGTAAGTTTGATTCACTTTAACATGGCTTGGTGGTGTAGTGGATTTGAAGCGATCGCTCTTCAGTCCGAGTCTCGGTGGGAACAACATCACTAACTGGGAGGCAGGTACATTCAGCTGACTAGTCGCAAATCATCATCATCATCATCATTATCAACATAGGAACAGGCATTACTGCGTAACAGTCCAACTTGCCACACCTCATATCAGCACATCAAGTAAAAAGGTAGTGAGGTGAAGGATGAAGATAAGTGAATGCAGTCAAAAGAAATATTAAGTACGAGAAGAAAGGAAAGAGGAGTGACAAAATGGTGAGATTCGGTATAGCGTTGTTAAGATGAGGATAATGTGGGTGGGGATACATCTGCAACACTCACATCGGTTCTCACCCATATCACCTACAGTCAGTCTCCAACCACTGGTTCCTCTTGTCCCACCAACACCAACCACCTAGTCTACATCGCCACCCCACATGGCTTAAACCGACAGTCAACGACTTCATACATTGGTGTCATGTTTTAGTCTGGCCACCTCAGGCCTTTTTCCAGCCTGGACCCAACTCAGCCAACATTGTGTGACGAGGCAATCGGTGACTAGGCATACGTCATACGTGTCCCAACCAGCCATCTCAATCGATGAAGGTTCATCACCTCGTCGACTGACTTACCTCTTCTCCCCAAAACTTTACACCTAACTTCTGCATTACTCACGTAGTGACGCCACGTAATATGGCATATACTACGAAGGAAACAGTGGTCAAACACCTGAGGCATTCTCATGTCTTCCACTTTTAATGGCCATGTTTCACAGCCATACAGTAGAACAGAGCGGACTGCTGTGCAGTACACGCGACCCTTAATAGACAAACGAATATCACGGCGGCGCCATAGGTGGCGCAAATTGGCAAAAGCCAATCGAGCCTTTTGTATCCGTGCAGAAATCTCATGGGCAACTAACCCACCAGGGTTGATCCTACTTCCCAGGTAGGTGAAGTGGTCAACACACTCACTCTCTATTGTTAACCGCGGTGGGGCACCGCTGAAGACCAGTCCTGGAGCAAAAATTTGCATTTGGGTGGTGAAAATCGCATCCCAAACATTCTCAAATTCCCACTCAAAGTGTTCAGAAGACTCTGCATGATGTCAGCGTCTTCACCTAACAGGACTATGTCATCTGCATATTCTAGATCTGAAGAAAATTCACCTGTGATTGGGTCAACGTCTTTGTAATTAGGTGAGGAGAGGGAAACCTCCATAAGAATATCTATGATAAAATTAAATAAGAATGGGGATAGTGGGCACCCTTGACGGACACCACTTGATGAGTATAGCTCCCTGGACAACTCACCATAGGCTCTAACATGCCCACAAGTGTTCGAGTAGAGAGCTTTCAATAAGGTGATGTACTTACTAGGCACGCCTTTCAGTGACAGACACTGCCATAAGACTTCTCGATCAACGGAGTCAAATGCCGCCTTCATGTCGACAAATACAGCTATTGTCGGGCGTCTGTAAGCATGCCTATGTTCCAGGACCTGGCGCAGTGTGAATATTTGGTCGATACATCCACATCCAAGTCGCAAATAGGACGAAATGAGCATCCTGGACTCCACTGCTAGCCACTGTCCATCATTACTATACATAATTAAAATATAGGCAATATCGAGGCATCCGTACACAAGCCCATAGGCCAACAGAGACTGATCAATTCGGTCCAATCAACGACGGTGTCATACAAACAACAACAGTAAGAAGATTGATTAAGAAAAGTGTATTTTTATTGGCTGAATAGTTTTCAATTGTTGAAAAACTACTCACCTAAGTGAGTGTAATCAGTAAATCATCTCCAAATCGATCATCTTATTTAAGGTATACTTACCCATTATTCACATCAGTTAACCAGTCAGATTCAAGTAAGCTGATTACTTCGGCTGTGAGTATACGGATGATAAACTAGCTCGATTGTAAAGCAAGAGAAACGGTCATCCGGTGATCAAGTTACTGTTATCTAGTTGGTGAAACCTACAGATCCCTCTGTTTCGTTTCTGACCACTCAAATTATTAAGTAGTTGTATATTTTTTTTTAATTGATAATACTTTTGTAGCAAAGATCACACATATACCTTGTGATATTGGCTACCAAAAGGGTGGTTTCCAAACAGAAACCCTGCTGACACATCCATCCATCCAGATCAACCTAGGTCCAGCCAGTACTGCGTAACAATCCGACTTGCCACACTTCATGTCACTACATCAAGTAAAAAGCCAGTGAAGTAGAAGATAAGAAAATACGAAAAGACAGAAAGGAAGAATGAGAAATGGTGAGATTCGGTATAGCATCGTTAAAATGAGGATAATGTGTGTGGGGATACATTTGCACCACTCACATCGGTTCTCAGACATGATACATCACCTACACTCAGTCTCCAACCACTGGCTTCTCTTGTCCCACCGACACCAACCACCCAGTCTGGATCGCCGCACATGGCTCAAACCAACAGTCAGAGACTTCATACATTCATGTCGTGTTTTAGTCTGGTCAACTCGGGTCTTTTTCCAGCCTGGACCTACTTAGCAAAACATTGTATGACGGGGCAGATGGAGACTAGGCATACGTAACACGTGTCCCAACTAGCCATCTCAGTCGATGAGGGTTCACAACCGTGTCAACTGACTAAATTATTCTTCCTCCCTAAAACCCTACACCTGACTTCAGCTTTGCTGACACATACAGAGACAGAGAAATAATCTAGTACTCATTAGTGACTAGTTTTGAGAAGTGATTCCCGAAGTTCCAATGAGAAGTCGTGACCGGTGAGGCAAACCTAGTGGACATGAGGACAAATACTCAACGGTGACTTTGGGTGATGGCAGCGCCAACTTACCCCATCTATGGCGCCTCCGTGATATCCGGTTGTCTATTAAGGGTCACGTGTACTGCACAGCAGTCTGCTCTGTTCTACTCTATGCCTGTGAAACATGGCCATTGAAAGTGGAAGACATGAGAATGCCTCAGGTGTTTGACCACTGTTTCCTTCGTAGTATATGTCGTATTACGTGGCGTCACCACGTGAGTAACACAAACGTCAGGTATAGAGTTTCAGGGAGTAGAGGTAAATCAGTTGACAAGGTGATGAACCTTCATCGACTGAGATGGCTGGTTGGGACACGTACTACGTATGCCTAGTCACCGATTGCCTCGTCACACAATGTTGGCTGAAGTAGGCCCAGGCTGAAAAAGGCTCGAGGTGGCCAGACTAAAACATCCCATCAATATATGAAGTCTCTGACTGTTGGTTTGAGCCATGTGGAACGATGGAGACTAGCCGGTTGGGGCCGGTGGGACAAGAAGAACCAGTAGTTGGAGACTGAGTGTAGGTGATGTACCATGGCTGAGAACCGTTGTGAGTGTTGCAGATGTATCCCCACCCACATTATCCTCATTTAACGATGCTATACCGAACCTCACCATTTTCTCATTCTTCCTTTCTGTCTTTTCGTACTTTATATTTTTTTGGACTGAATCTTCTTATCTTCATCTTCCACTTCACTGCCTATTTATTTGATGTAGTGATATGAGGTATGGCAAGTCGGACCGTTACGCAGTAATGCCTAGTCCCTATGTTGATTTGGATAGATGATGATGATGATGACCCCCCAACCCATTGGGTCAGTGGTAACATGCTGACCACGGAACCTGAAGATCATGGATTCGATGCCTGTTGCGGAAGGCGCACTGGGGCGAAACATCTAGCTGTCGAGTGCTTCAAGGTTTCCAGTGTTCCTTCCAACTGATGTCAGCCTATGATGAATACCAACTTGTAATCAATAAGTCCTTCATTAACCCCTCCCCCCCACACACACACCCCAAATTGAGAGAGAGATTACACCAAATTAATCAATTATACACTTACTTCTTTGAGTACTTCCGTTAGTTTCATTTATATCATTATGTAATCGACTATTAATTTTTGTATTCATACTTGTACGTCTCATGTTATTACGTAAAGCCTCTTCATCATTATTAGACAGAGGATGACTGACACTGGCATACAATCCATCAGAATCGGATGCTTGATCATCACATAACGAATAAAGGAATTGATTGTTCAATTCAAAAGTACCAGTACGTGATTTATTTGGACGTAATACAGGAATGGCTATATCATACAAGTGTTGATCATTTTCAATTGATCTTTTAACAGTTTGAACTGAATAATACATCAGTTGATCACTAGTATCTTCTAGAATATTCTTTGATTCATCATTACTCGATTTAGTCTGTTTGTTCTAAATATTGAATTGTCAATAATAAAAACAGTTAGACATTGGATAGTATAAAGAAACAAGAATTCATTGTGGACTGACATAAGTTAGAGGAACACTGAAAACCTTGGAGCATTGGACAGTTGTGATTCCTCAGTAGTGTGCGCTCAGGATCTTCAGGTTCCGGGGCAAGCAATTACTGATGACTAGCTTCAAGAGGTGATTCCTGAAGTTCTAATGAGATATCGTTACCATTGGATTCCACCGACCCAGTGACTTAGTGGTAACCAGCTGGTCACGGAACATGAAGGTCATGGGTTCGATCCCTGGTGGGGTGGGCGAGGTGATGGGTGCACACTATTGACGAACCCCGTGCTAGGACGAAACAGTTAGCTGTTCATTGCTCCAAGGTTTCCGATGTTCCGCAAACTGATACCACTCTATGATGAATCCCAGAGTTGTAAAGCGTTCTGTTGTGAGTATCCCCTTGAGCCTTCTCTCTTACATCAATGATCATCAGTTGTATCCTGTGTCTTCCAATTTTATCCACTGTTTTCTAGTCCACTGAATAGTTCATAGGTGGTCTGGATCTGACACTAGTTAACAGAACATGGTGACTTAGACATTCATGAAGAAAATAAATATAGTTGTTCTCTATTCTGAGGCTTTCCTCTTGGCAGGGATTTGACGCTTATCAGGAATTTTGAGATGATGAAGGAAGAAGAGGATTTTGATGGTTCTGTCTTCTCTGAGCTAGATGGTTTAATGGTGATACGAAGCTTTCATCGTCATTCTACACAACGTCATCATCAGCCGCACAAACTTCAGAAAAATGTCGCTTCCCTGAGGTCACTGTCAAAAAATGTCGGACATCGGACATTAGGTGTTCAGAAGGAATCTATCTATCGTCAACCATTGTGATAACCTAGTCTTAATTTAATCTTTCACTTGTTTGATTACATCATTACTGTGTCATCCGATTTTCAACTAACACTAAACCCCAGTTTTAATCTACTGAGTTCTACTCGTCATGTTCTATTAAACCTTGTATTCGCCCCCCACTTAACTTTTAACTACAACTTCCGTTCTGATATATATACTGGGTGATAAGTGCAGGTGAAGTGAAAATTTGGACCACGGTCAAATTCAAACCAGTGACCACTGGGGTTTCCGGCCCGATACTCTACCAACTGAGCTAGTTGCGAAGTCCAACTGGTGAACAGATTTTTATTTCAATTCAATCGCAATGGGCTTTGTCCAACGATTATCATGTGAATTTGTGATGTATTACTACCGTTTAATCGTATTCACATTGCCTGCTGCCTAGTCAGGACTTTTCATCCCAATCGAAATAATAAGCGAATAAGAATGAGAGACAGAGCATCACACTGATTACCACCTCAACTATCTGAGATAGTACCCGTGGTTTACTATTATTATTTGCGAATTGTGTGCCTAGTGGAACATACGGCTGAAGTAGCACGTCTCCAGTACACTCTATTCTCTGCAAACTTTTGAACCTGACGCCACGACTTTCCACAAGCTCTCATTTATTCCTCACATGATCTACTCCATGTCACCCTCACCTCGAACGCCCAACTCGTCGCTTCCCATCTCGGTCCCACTCGAGTGCCTGGCCTGACATGTGATGTCTCCAGTCGGCCTTCTCAGTGTATGCCCAATACAGTCCATCTCAACTTCCTTCAAGTGTATATTTGTTGGGTGATGGGTTCATGGTTGGTTCGTTGACACCTAGTCAGAGTTCCTTGTTGCTTATTCTCATTGTTCTGGCAATCCATCTGATCTGATCTGATCTGATCTGATCTTCAGTAACGAGCCAGAGTAGGCAGTTGTTGATGAATGTCTGTAGTTTGTTCGAAGTGCTTTTCGTCACGCGTCAAGTTTCTGGACAATCACATAGAAGCACTGACTTGACTGAATTGGTGTTTAAAATTCGCATGTTGTTCACGCTTCATGCTGAGTGCAGTAGATCTCCGCAGTGATTACTTCAGATTAATGAAAGGTCTGTCTTTCTTTTCTGATCCTGGTTATGACATCCTCGTCTGTGCCGCCACCTGTAGTAGAGACGATGTTGCCTAGACAAGTAAGAGAGACTACTTCCTTTAGGTTTCTTCTGCTAGTGCTGATTAGTGCTTGTCGTTTATGTTGTTGTTGGTTGGGTATCTTGATCACCTCCGTCATCTCTATGTTCACCTGAAGGAAGTCCCGTCTTCGCTGCCCTGCCTCTTCTGTCAACTTGGTAGTTTTCGCCTGTAGATCTTCAAGTTTGTGTGACATTAGACATAAGTCATCATCGGGGAAATCCAAATGCTCTAGGCTCTTTTCGTTGGTTCGGCGTATACCCATCTTCTAGCTTCCCACAGTTTGCTGCATGATCCAGTTCATCATAATCAGAAAGCTTATCGGTGATGGTAAGCAGCTTTGTCTTACTTCTGTCTCCACTTGAAAGGAACAGATATATATATGACGGGGAGAAATTATCCAATAACATTTGATGTATATAAGTGTTAAACATACCTCAGTGAAATTTGTGTTTGAATATGTGGGCACCGGTGGGAGTTCACAATTTCGATGTGAATTACTTTCTTGACTAAATGAAAAAAGAAAATGGATATGAATAAGACTGGAAAACTTGATAGGCATTAAAATGAAATTCAATGTGAAATCATTCCTTTTTCCTCTCTTTTCCTGCCTTCTACTTTTACTCCCTTTGACTGATTTCTCTTCCCCCCTTTGTCTTTCATTTTATTTATTGCCTTGTCACTTGATGTGCTAACAAGAGGTGAGCTATGGGAACTTGGATCGTTACGCAGTAATCGCAGGTCCTATCTGAATGATGATGATGATGACGAGATATGAAAACTTCCGACACCTGAGTTTTATAGTCCTGTCACCCATCTCATATTCTTCGCTTTTATTGCTAATAAAAACTTTTCACACATCTCTCGCATACATGTATTACGTCATCTCCATTACACACATGATCACGGTGTCAGCTGACTCGATGAACAAGATTCTTTTATAAAGGAAACATTAATAATTATCCTCTACATTTGATCAAGAAATTCATACAAACACATAAAACATGAAAGAGTAACAGTAACAGTAAGAGTAACACGAGTAGAAAGGAGTTAGTCCACAATCTCCATTGTGTTATCATTGGAAGAGGGCACATCAGAAACTCTATGTAGGATTCCCAACATGGCTTGAATTAGAGTGGCATTTAAACCTACAAACTCATTCAGGGATGAGCTTTGACAGTCCAACACATCCAATTCAACAAAATAATCTGACCTATCAAATTCCATACAATGACTGTGAGTCAGGTCAAATACATAGATGAAACTAGTCAGTTGGGGTTAGTTAGATTATCACAGCATAAGAATGTATTCTCATTCAGATATTATTTAGAAGTAAGACTGATTGAACAAACAAATGTATATATTCCTATTCAATTAGGTCTCTCTCTCTTCAACTTTACACTAATATTTCTCCAGCTTGACAATTCAATCAAAATACTCATGAAGTGAACAATAATCATAGAGATTTTGAGTAAGTCATGAAGATGATGATAAGTTTTACAAATTAAGAGGCAAATGATCAATCCAAAAAAAAAATTTAATTGAACTGATGCTCATTGGTGACTAGCTTCGAGAAGTATTCCCGAAGTTCCAATGACAAGTCGTGACCGGTGGAGTCAAAGCCTGATGGCCGTGAGGACAGATACTCAACGATGACATTGAATGGCGGTTTGCGCTATATCGTGAGCTAACAGAAGTTGAAAATATGGAGCATTGGATTCTGACCCAGTGGCTCAATGGTAACGCGCTGGCCGCGGAACCTGAAGGTCGCGGTTTCGATCCCTGCTGGTGGGGTCGTGGGTGCGCACTGCTGAGGAGTCCCATACTAGGACGAAACAACTGTCCAGTGCTCCCAGGTTTCCTTCGTTCCTCTCCAACTGATGTCAGTCTTCGATGAATAACAACTTGAAATCAATAGAGTAACTAAAATATTGGTAATATAATGAAGCACGGTTATTCTCAAGTAAATGGAATCATTGTTGATGAATGTTCATTCAGAGACAATGGTGATTATGCAATGATAAGAAAAAACAAATGAATATAGATAAAGAAAAAAGAGAAGGAGGAAGGCAGAGTTGTACAAAATAATACTAGAAGTTATATCATATTGTGATGGCGAAGGTAATAAAAGTGGTCGAACAAACTTGATTGGAATACAAAGGTTAGGTTTGTTTGTAAAGGTGTGGATCTCAATCACATTTGCTATGTGAAATAAGCAAGCGAGTAATTCTAGTATGTGGTAAATGGGTTAGAATATGATGAATAATTTTGAAAGCTTTTCTAGTATCCTCGTTGTCAACTAGGTGTGCAAATGTGGAACTCTTTATTGTTCTAATTTATCCCTTGTTCAACCATGATGGATGGTGCTGAGAAACTCTACAATGGACTTGCCTAATTGTTCGCCCAATGTAGCTATCTCTATAGGAACAGTTGAACTGATAATTGTACATGAAAGTACCAGGATCAAGCAGTTTGTCTTTATTTCTTGCACATAGCATCATGCATTTGTAGAGGATGGGAGATAACTTAGCTGTTGAGAATGCTTTCTGCAAAGCTCTTTTTATGCGTTTTGTGATGATCTCACTGACAATATCAATCTTAAATTTCAGCTTCAAGAAGATTTTCTCCTTAGAAACTATTGACATTCTAACCTGCTTCATTATATTACCAATTTTTTAGTTACTCTATTGATTATTTGCCTCTTAATTTGTAAAACTTATCATCATCTTCATGACTTACTCAAAATCTCTATGATTATTGTTCACTTCATGAGTATTTTGATTGAATTGTCAAGCTGGAGAAATATTAGTGTAAAGTTGAAGAGAGAGAGACCTAATTGAATAGGAATATATACATTTGTTTGTTCAATCAGTCTTACTTCTAAATAATATCTGAATGAGAATACATTCTTATGCTGTGATAATCTAACTAACCCCAACTGACTAGTTTCATCTATGTATTTGACCTGACTCACAGTCATTGTATGGAATTTGATAGGTCAGATTATTTTGTTGAATTGGATGTGTTGGACTGTCAAAGCTCATCCCTGAATGAGTTTGTAGGTTTAAATGCCACTCTAATTCAAGCCATGTTGGGAATCCTACATAGAGTTTCTGATGTGCCCTCTTCCAATGATAACACAATGGAGATTGTGGACTAACTCCTTTCTACTCGTGTTACTCTTACTGTTACTGTTACTCTTTCATGTTTTATGTGTTTGTATGAATTTCTTGATCAAATGTAGAGGATAATTATTAATGTTTCCTTTATAAAAGAATCTTGTTCATCGAGTCAGCTGACACCGTGAACATGTGTGTAATGGAGATGACGTAATACATGTATGCGAGAGATGTGTGAAAAGTTTTTATTAGCAATAAAAGCGAAGAATATGAGATGGGTGACAGGACTATAAAACTCAGGTGTCGGAAGTTTTCATATCTCGTCATCATCATCATCATTCAGATAGGACCTGCGATTACTGCGTAACGATCCAAGTTCCCATAGCTCACCTCTTGTTAGCACATCAAGTGACAAGGCAATAAATAAAATGAAAGACAAAGGGGGGAAGAGAAATCAGTCAAAGGGAGTAAAAGTAGAAGGCAGGAAAAGAAAGGAAAAGGAAATGAGATGATGATGAAACTAAGTATAAGCGTTAAGACGAGGTTAATGTGTGTATGCATTTATGTTGATGAATTGGCCAGTCAGTGTGAATATCATTATCAAGCCATAGTGATTCATCCCGAATTCACAAGGCAGTCGGGCAAAACCATACAAAGAAGACACCTTAGAAACACTACGAAGGATTCTTGATCAGGCTGACTGGGTTTAGAGTGGAATTTTAACCTGTAAACTCACTTCGAAATAACCTTTGTAAGTTAAAACATCCTACTGATCCAAGTATTTTTATATTTTCTTTGTGCTTAGAAGTTTTTTTAGCGATTGGATTGGTTTTACGGGGTAGGGTTGATAGCCCTAAGCCCGAACTTCCCTCTTTACCCGGGCTAAGGACCGGCTAGTAACTAGTGAACTAGTTAACCAGGTGAGGGTGTCCGAGGGTGATATGGAGGAGACCATGTGAAGAAGAAATGAAAGCTTGTGGGCAGTCGTGGAGCGAGGTTCAAAAGACTACAGAGAAGACAGTGCAACGGACACGTGCTACTGAAGCCGTATGTTCCACTAGGAACCCAAGGGAAAAATAATAATAGTAATTGATTCAACTAAGTAGAATAACTTAGATTACCAAATCGTTTGCAACGATTGGGAGGTCAAATACACAGATCAAAGTATTCAACCAGCCGAGGTCAATTAGGCTCTCCGAACACAAAAACCTAGTTAAATCAAAATTGGTAGATCCTAGTAAGGTAAGGAATTTAGAAAAGGGAGGCTCAACCATAAGCTTTACATGCCAATACACACAACCATACAATAAGATAGGACAAGGTGAAAATCCTTAAAACCAACTAACATGACAGGTTGGAGGGAGAGATTGATAACTGAATCTTTCTTCATCGAATCATCACCTAGTATACACAGTAACAAGAATGACTCAGTACCTGTTCCGAATACTATCCATGTCACAAAGGAGGTCAAGAAAATTAGGACTATACAAAGGATATCTTATAGTTGTGTAATTATCTTGATATGACTATGAACAATAAATTCTGTGTCCAAAACATAATCCAGTAAACACCATTGTTCCTTTACAATGTGATAAATCTGATAAACCAATAAAAATAGAATTACATTCTATCATAATGTACAAGTTTTACTCTTATATTAATAAAGCCCTTCATGATTGAAGTGAAACAAGAGTTTGGTTAGCAGATAGCATCGTGAAAGGTTAACCAGGAAGTTGGCTGATTTAAATCCCAGTGTCAATAATACAAAGTCTCGAAAACACCACGTCTATCTCATATAAACTACCATAACATTACTGTTCATCATCATCATCATCATCATCATCAATATCAACATAGGATTAGGCATTAATGCCTAACGGTCCGCCAATCCGCCATACCTCATCTCACATCAACCACATCAAGTAAAAAGTCAGTGAAGTAAAAGATGAAGAAAAGAAAATATAGTCACAACAAATATCATGTACTAAAAGAGAGAAAGGAAGAATGAGGAAACGGTGACATTCGGTATCGCGTCGTTAAAATGAGGATAATGTGGGTGGGGATACATCTGCACCACTCACATCGGTTCTCAGACATGATACATCACCTACACTCAGTCTCCAACTACTGGTTCCTCTTGTCCCACCGACACCAACCACCTAGTCTACATCGCCACCCCACATGACTCAAACCAACAATCAACGGCTTCATACATTGATGGGATGTTTTAGTTTGACCACCTCGGACATTTTTTCAGCCTGATGAAGGTTCACAACCGTGTCAACTGACTTGTGCGTTACTCACATGGTGACACCATGGAATATGGCTTATACTACGAAGGTAACGGTGGTCAAACACTTGCAGCCAACCTTCTCATATCTTCCACCTTCAGTGGCCATCTACCACAGGCATAGAGTAGAATAGACCGGAATGTTGTGCAGTTCATGCGACCCTTAATAGATAATCGGATATGATGGCGGCGCCATAGGTGACGTAAGTTGGTAAAAGCCAGCCGAGCCTTTTGTAACCATCGCCCAGTGACCCACCACAGCTGATCCTACTTCTTAGGTAAGTGAAGTGGTTGACATGTCACTGTTAACTGATGACAATTATGAATTTGCATAAAAGGTATACTTTTTACTGAAGCAGATGTATTTTTAAATGTATAACTTAGCTGCAAGTGAAACATAAAAGCAATTTCACGTTTATAAATATGTATACATGAGTACATTAGTATATATAAAAGCATAAACATACCGTAGTAATTGGTAACCAGGCGGTATAATCTTTCTATTATTCAGATTTTCTCTTAGTTCAATTGTAGTAGCATAAGCTAAATCACTTTCATTTGTTACAAGATTTGAAGTTTCAATTAATATATGATTAGGCTTAAAATCATTGGAAACAGTCACCGAGGCATTACAATCATTTCGATAGAGTTGTTTACATCGAGATATGAAACGTTTATGATCAATATGATTAGTTTTCTAAAGGAGAGGAAAGGAGGAAATAAGAATTATTTAGGGTTATGATTAGTTAACTATTCTGTGACATAAACTGAAAACCTTAGACATTGTAGTTTAGGACATTACTATTCAGTTGGCTTAACAGGGTTGAGAATAGAGCATTAGAAGAAAATAGAAAAATAGGAAATAGAATAGTGTAATGTAGCGACAAAAAGGCAACCAATAGGGGGAGTTGTTTTCAAGTCATGATCAGATCATGATATTTATGCATGCGCTGACATGAGAACCTAATTGGAGAGAGTTTTGTAAATACATATATATATGTCATGCATTTGCCGGATAAAAGTTATCGTTGTTCTTGCGGTCATAGGCCGTCTTTTGTTTTCTGATTTTACGCGGCTCATTGAAGCAGAAGGTACTAAGCGAGGTCAGTTGTAAAGGTGTCTATTGAGTTTCAGTATCATTATACCCATGCACGCAACCCCACACGGTCATGACAGTAAACTACAGTTGAACTTTATCTTCGTCATACTGTTACCAGTTTTGTGTCGTTGAGGTGACAGCTGACAACGTCATAGTTTGGCACCAAGGTTATCAAATAGCATATTCTGAATGGTGGTTCACTAGTCAACACTGATCTAGACGAAGGGATCTTCCTTAAAGTTAGTTAAGACAATAAGATAACACACTGTCTCACATTATATTAGTTAGTAACCAATAAAAGGTAAGCAAACACCACTCGTGATCGATCCCGTATGCTCTAACTAGGCACCAATCACACACTCGCCTAGACCAATTTATCCGTAGCCAGAGAGAATGACAGCCATAAGTGACTAGTTTTGAATGTCCTTCATGTATCCATCTTTGTTCTTGTTCTTTCATATTCTGATTAGGGCACCAACGCTTTAAGCCTTGTACATTTCCATTTATCTTCTCATTAAGTCAGCTAGCCTGGCGTAAATGAATGTAGAATCAACTAACCCATAGGAATTTCGGGCATTTCTATGACCCATCTAGGTAAAGATATAACAACTACTACACACAATTTCCTCCAAAATTAACTGAATGGTGTTGTTCTTACGTGGAAGTATCGAATAACTAGTGTTAACTCCCACTTGACTACCTTTACCTTGGTAGGTGGAGTGGCGTTCAAACCCGTGATAGTCAAGCACCTTCGCTAATGAGTCACACCTCATGAGGAAAGAGGTAAACGAAATAACTATTCATAAGAAAAGTAACATTACTTCGGAATGTCGTAATAGGGAATGAATGTAACAAACATCGAAACCTTCAGCTGACTAGTGTATCACATCTGTTTACCAATAAATCGTTAATTATATACTGACATGAAGTGGCCCCTCAAAGAATTTCGATGTTATCCAGCTACAATTATCCTACTCCTGATGAGCACTGACCGACTGAAAATATCAACATAGAACGTTACATACAGGTGCGTTGGCTCAAATCCTCACACTTCACAGTAGTCGGTAGAAAAAGACTGATATGAAAGAAGATAAAGCGGTGCGAGAGAATAAATAACCTTGAGCTAAAGGTTCGTACAGACCCCTAAGCCTTAGAAGGTGCCAACGAGTGATTACATCAGCTGCCAGAAGTCAGAGACTTCGTCGACTGCTGCTATATCTTGGTTTCGCTACCTTATATCATCTTCCAATCTAATCCAACTTGTACCACAGCACATTGAGATAACCAGTGGCTCGGCATGTGCAGTACATCTTCAAGTCGACTAAGGTTTATAATCTCATTAACTGACTTGTCGGTCTCATCTAGTACCCTTTGCCTGACCTCAACATTGCTCACACGGTGATCCCACGAAGCGCGAGTGATGTTACGAAGACACCTATGATCAAAACCCTGTAATCACTTCATGTCTTCTACTTTCAACGGACATATCTCACAGACCAATATACTCATCTTTCGATAGGTAGTCAAGTATCTCCCCAGTTGGCAGATGCCAAATGAGCCTTCTGTATCCTAGCTGAGATTTTGTCACCAATTAGTCTATTCAGCAGGTTGATGCAATTGGTTGATACATTCCACCACTTCACTTCCTATCATTAAGTTGGGAAGTACTTGCAGAAGTTCATTACCGGAGCATCATCTAATATTTGATAAGTGAGAGAGAAAAACATGTCAAACATCCTCATATTTCTGTTTAGCAGGTTCAGGAGACCCTGTATTTTGTCAGCAACTTTACCTAGCACGATAATGTTATCTGTATATACTCCAAGTCAACAAGATCAACTCTAGGGAAGTAAGTTAATCCCTATAAAGTCAGAAGTATTTAAGGTTTATGAGGAAAAGGAATTTGCCAAAACACCTGAACAAGCGATCTCCTTGAATACAACTATTACAAACATAGATATACAGATGTACACTGACCTGACAAGATTTAACGCTAACATCATGATGTGAATTACTCCCTTTTTGTATCAAGCTGGAAAAGAAAAATTAATAATTTAATGGTCAAAATATTCTTTTTTTCTTAAAGTTACCTTTGTTTTTTATTCCAACAGAAACATAATAGCAAAATGAACGAGATTGACAATAATGAGATGAATGCACCAATATAATTTAGCATACACTCCATACAGTGGACAGTATGTACTAGACAACAGGTTTATTCTACTTGTTAGGATTTATTATTTTCAATTAAAAATTATTTTTAATTTCATCTATCTAGAAGCTTGGAACATTGACAAGTTTTTATTGTATATAACAAGGAATTGACGTTAAACATTCAAGAAGATTGACAATTCATTCAACGTGTACAAGAATCTAAAAAAGAACGAAACAAACAATTAATACAAACTGACAACTCAGTAATAAATAAATCAGTAGAGAATTATCAAATTTGTATTCTGCTATTAGAATACTAGTCATATCTAGGTCTTATGGATTCATGATACTCTATCCGACTAATATGATGAGTAAGATGGAAACGGAAATACAGTTTGAGAACATGTATACACAGACGGAAGGTTTGGTACCATCTCATCTAGTGAAGACGTTGATAGACTTAAGATTATATTCGTTGACTCTTGCCTAAAGTACACGACTAGTAGGAACAGTATGAGAAGAAGCCTTGAAAAAGCTTAAAACTAGTGCGAATATCGTGATTGCCAAGCCACATATAGGATCAGGAAAGAGTACATGGATAAAATGATGAAAGTAAATTTCAGAAATTAGCCGCTTATGGTGATACAACAGGGGAAACCTACAAACATCTAACCGAATCACTGAAAAAGATAAAACAACAGGGTTTCATTTCAGAAAGCATCTTCAAAATGCTGAAACCTACTGGAAGCATTACACCTAGACTTTACAGTCTACCAAAACTGCATAGAAACGGTCTGCCTCTTCAACCAGTTCTTGACATGACTAACTATCTGTATCATACAACAGCAAAATGGTTAGTACAACTATTGAAGCCTCTTTTTACTAACATTCCTTTAATGGAGACAGTAGACTTTATTTGCAACGAACTCATGAAGCATGGCATGGAAATAAGTATTTCAGTCTACACATTGAAAGAACTACTTCTGAGGTGTACGATGAATGCACAATTTCTTTTCAACAATGAATTCTACCGGCAATCTGATGCTGTTGCTATAGGATCACCCCTTGGCCCTCTCTTAGCGCATTTTTTTCTGGCAAAACTTGAGAATGATCCAGTGGACGATACTATTAGCTGTTTAGAGTTATATTATCGTTACACGAATGATAGCTTTATACTTCTGAAAAGTGAGACTGATAAGAATGCTGTTCTGAATAATTTCAGTAGCTTTCATCCAGCAATCAACTTCACAATGGAAGAGGAGAAAAATGACAGTATCCCATTTCTTGATGTTCTGTTGGTAAGAAGGTCAGATGGAAACCTGAGACGAACTGTTTATAGAAAGCCAACATCAACAGGTCAATATAAGTACTTCTTTAGTGCTGTACCCCTCCAATACAAAAGGAACCTAGTGAAATGCTTAGCATACCGTGCCACAGCTATTTGCTCAAATGATGCTACAAAGGAAGAGTGCACCACCATCCGTGATCTGCTTAGGAGGAATGGCTACCCAGACAAGTTTGTGACTAAGCAAATACACATTACGAGGGTTAAGACAACAATGCCAACAGTTCCTAAGAAGTAAATCTTCTTGAGGCTGCCATTTAAGAGTGATATTGCTAGTGAGATCATCACAAAACGCATAAAAAGAGTCTTGCATAAATCCTTCCTAGCCGCTAAATTATTTCGCGCCTTCTACAATCGCCCGATTCTAGGTGCAAGAAATAAAGACAAACTACCTGATTCTGTCACTTCTATGTGCATTTATCAATTCAACTGCTCCTGTGGAGCTAGTTACATTGGGCGTACAATGAGGTAGTTCCATCGTCGAATTTCTGAACACCACCCATCATGGTTGAACAAGGGACAAATTAGAACTATAAAGACCTCCATACTTACACACTTAGTTGACACAAGACATCAAGTGGTTACTAGAAAAGCCTTCAAAATCATCCATCAGATTCCAATTGATTTACCACATGGATTATGCACTCGGTTACTTCACATAGTAGAGGCGATTCCAATCCACCTTTACAAACCTAACCTTTGTATACAAAAGAAGTTTGTTCGACCACTTTCATTACCGTGGCCGTCACAATATGATGTAACTTCTAGGTTTACTTTGTACACCTCTTCTCCGTTCCCCTTGTTTCTATCAATATTCATATTTCCAATTTGAGTAACTCCTATTGATTATTGACATGATTATTTCCGAGACATGACCACATGATTGGTAATTTGATTAAATTGTAAAACTATGCAATATTAGTGTAGAGCTTAAGATGAAGACCTAATCGAAAAGGAATATACATTTCTTCGTTCAATCAGTCTTGCTTCTACAACTAAAATTCTGAAACCAAAGAACCAAACGTTCACTAACGATATATCATAGGTGCATACACCGAAGTGATCAATAACAGCCAACATTCCAAGGAGACATTGTGGTTATCTGAAAGATATACCAAGATTCCGTCACTCCTTTTGTAGAATAACGACGTAACAACCTTGCTTTGTTATTTTATTCTTTGAGCAATAAAAATACTACAATAAAAGATTCTCAGACTATGCTTTGTTGGTCTTATTTCAATCAAGGTAAAACGGCTCAGAAGGAAATGGAAATAGCAGAAATAATCAGAACAACGAGCTAAGCACAATTAGCTTGCATACCTGTTAGCAAAAGTGACAAAAAACATTACTACCTGTAAACCATGGTAAAGGATACCATTTTGAACTAATGAGCTATGCGACAGATTGGCATACACCAAACTTATTCGGTTGTTTATTTCAGTTAGTTAACAGTTCAAATTGTCTTGTCCTAAAATTAGCACGTCAAGAAATTGTTATCACTGAAAGTAGTGCTACACCATAGAACCAAAAGAAAATGGACTAAAGTAGAAACTAGAAATATGATCAGACGGTTTACATGCAGAATAGGCTTGAATGTGTCTGCACCATTGCAATTGATTCTCAGATATATGATCATTAGTCCACATCAATAGGTTTCGGTTTGAACGCGGACGTCAATCTGACAGTCAGTGTTCCCCTACATGCCTCAGGTCAGCATATGGTTATCATCATCAACATAGGACTAGGCATTAATGCCTAACGGTCCGCCAATCCGCCATACCTCACCTCACATCAACCACATCAAGTAAAAAGTCAGTGAAGTAAAAGATGAAGAAAAGAAAATACAGTCACAACAAATATCATGTACTAAAAGAGAGAAAGGAAGAATGAGGAAACGGTGACATTCGGTATTGCGTCGTTAAAATGAGGATAATGTGGGTGGGGATACATCTGCAACACTCACATCGGTTCTCAGACATGATACATCACCGACACTCAGTCTCCAACCACTGGCTTCTCTTGTCCCACCAACACCAACCACCTAGTCTGCATCGCCACCCCACATGACTCAAACCAACAATCAACGACTTCATACATTGATGGGATGTTTTAGTCTGACCACCTCGAGCCTTTTTCCAGTCTGAATCTACTTCGGCCAACATTGTGTGACGAGGCAATCGGCGACTAGCCATACGTCATACGTGTCCGAACCAGCCATCTCAGTCGATGAAGGTTCATCACCTCGTCAACTGATTTATCTCTACTCCCTAAAACTCTACACCTGACTTCTGCATTACTCACGTGGTGACGCCACGTAATACGGCATATACTACGAAGGAAACAGTGGTCAAACACCTGAGGCCCTCTCATGTCTTCCACTTTCAATGGCCATGTTTCACAGCCATAGAGTAGAACAGAGCGGACTGCTGTGCTGTACACGCCACCCACAATAGATAATCGGATATCACGGCGGTACCACAGGTGGCGTGAGTTGGCAAAAGCCAGTCGAGCCTTTTGGATTCATGTAGAGATTTCATCGTCAACTAACCCACTAGGGCTGATCCTATTTCCCAGGTAAGTGAAGTGGTTGACGCACTCAACCATTACTCTCATTCTCTATTGTTAGCGGCGGTGAGGCACCATTGAAGACCAATCCTGAAGCAACAATTTGCATTTCGGTGGTGAGAACCACATCCCAAACATTCTCAAATTACCACTCAGTGTTCAGAAGACTCTGCATCTTGTCAGTGTCTTCACCTAACAGGACTATGTCATCTGCGTATTCTAGGTCTAACGGAAATTCTCCCGCGATTAGGTCAACCTCTGAGTAGTCAGGTGACGAGAGGCAGACCTCCGTAAGAGTTAGAGACTTCGTGGACTAAGACTATGTTTAGTCTGATCAATTTAGTTAACACAGAGCGTTGGGGTAGATGGTGACGAATTATACGTAACATAAGTTCAAGCCATTTCATTTGATGAAGCCTTACAATCTAATCAAGTGACTTACTCTCTTACCCAAGACTAAATCTAACCTCGATGTTCATCACTCTGTGCAGCAAGTGCTACGAAGGCAGTCCTATCTCCTATTGTAATAACCAAATCTCGTAGACGTATGGTATGACGAAGCGAACTGTTGCAATATACACCCAACCCTTAGTGGGTAATAGCATACTAGTGCTACAAGCATCAAAAGCCAATTAAGCTCTTTGTATGCGTCCCAAAATGTCGTCGGCTATCAACGCACTACTACTGACCCAATTCTCCAAGTGTGAATCAAGTAATCGGCGTGTTCAACTACTTCGGTTTCCATTGTCAAACAAGGTATCAAGGTAGACACGTTCTGAAGCAACAATTTTTATTCGAGTGATGAGTAATGCATCACAAAGATCCTTAGACTCATTCAATATGCTCAAAAACCTTCGTATCCTGTGAGCATCTTTACAGTACTATGAAGTCTGTACACTTTGACTAGGACGTTTCCTACCGTAACATCAATCTTTCTTAAATTCAGGCGAGATGGATACTTCGATAAGCATCTTCATGATGACATCAACTAATAATGGAGATTTTTTGTGGCAATTTTAGTGAGAGGTACTTCTGTAAGACTTCTGCGGAATACTGTCCTCAAGTCCAGAAGTATAGCTAGTAATAGGTGACGGTAAGTACTCTTTTGTTCTTGAGCTTCA